ATTTTTGTATGTTTGGTGTTGGCAGTCCGTGGAGCTAGCTCGTGGGTGCAAACTGCGTATTGGACCATACACTACAAGAAGGAAGTTAAATAAATTTTTGCTTGGTTTGTCAATTATTAGTTAGACAGTTTATTGATAATATATATTTTCCATTTTTGTATGATGAGGTTTTAAAATTGGCATTGGATTTTTTATTTCTGATTTGTGGTTAGTTCTATAATATGTGATTGTAATGTCATTTACACATCGAATTTTATCAATCTGTAGTTTATGTCTATGTAACTGAAAGGTGGAATGATTAAAGTATTGTCAAAGGAATAATTTTTTGGGTCTGAGCGAGTAAAACCCAGGGAAACAGTTTAGGAGACAATAAAATATAAACATTGGTACCTATTTCGGTACTAAAAGCTCTACGAGCCTTCAGGTGAAAAATACTGGCTCTTTTGATCACTTCAATTTGCATACTTAGTTTCATATGCTCCTTTACTTTGAATACGTTAACACACATCATCGGTAAATAAATCTGCCGTTTCTATTTTAATTAAATAGGCAAACGATTTTGCCAACTATAATTCATTATCATTATTTTGGTAAAAGTTTCTATTATTTTTTTCCCTAATCATACTTGTCTTCACACGAGTTCTATTCAAATATGTTCTATTCGTGATGCCATCTCGTACTTGCTTATGTTCCAAATTCATGATTATAGTAAATGAATAAATGAAAATTGATGTTTATTGTGATGGAGAGGTACATGTAAAAGCATAGATGCACTCATTTGGTAAATCTGATAAGGTGTTTGTGTGTTGTAATATGATATGATGAAATGGGGTTCAAATGCATAATTGATTATATTTAAATGGAAGAGCTGGCTACTTAAATTATAATCTTTATTATATTCGTTTTTATTTCTGGTCGACACCGCAACTTCTAAATGCAATAATCGTACTAGATTAAAGCATATATTAGTTGACTGATAAAAAAGCTCTACAATTCTTGTTGCTCTGTATGTAGTTGTTAAGATTCAGCTACCTCCTAAATCCTGAAATATTTAAATTTTGAGTTTTATGATGTCCTTAAATCTCCAATCTAAGGTTCCATTGTTTCACTCTGTATTATGCGCAATTAAAACATTCTGTTATTTAATTGTGTACATAACAAACATTGGATTGATGATGTAATTCACGAGAATTCAACACATTTAACACGTTAACATTACCTCCAAAATAACTCAGCCCGTGCATTGCACGGGCAAAGACTAGTAATCCTAAAAGTATCCATTTCAACAAATGAATATGCCAAGAATACCTCTCATAGCTAAGTACAACTTAGACACCCTCATGGGAAGAGATCTCCATGGGATAGCAATAGCTTCCAGCAAGGAAAAAAACGAAATACAACTTTAACCACAAATAGAAAACAGAAATATCATAATTCAGAAGTGTGCATGTGGGTGATTTGTGCATCTGAAAGCTAGTTTTGAATTTTATGTGATCAAGTACGCATTACTAGTGAATTCCTGTCTTAGATTTTCTTAAAACTAGTTTCTAAAGGAGACAAAAGGCAATGATGCAAAATTATAACTGAAGTCTGATTAATCACAAGCCTACAACAATTCATATCAACCCTCTCAACATCAAAGTTCAAAAGCTTTACTTTCAGATTTAATGCATCAGGAGTTCAGGACATGGGACGGGCGGGCAGAGACTATAAACTCCGTTTCTGTCTCCGCCCTCTCCCTCATTACAACTAATCATCTTCTGCTGTGTTACTTGCATACTTTTTATAGAAATGAATACACTTCTAAGTTTTATGGTATTCACATATGATTAACGTGAAAATACAATAAATATCAGAGAAGAATGATTTCAGCGATTTCTGTGGTCCCGGAGCACCAACAAATAGTTCTTCATGGTTCTAGTACGAATCTAAGGTCTTAA